ATAATTATGAGGTTCTTATGTTAGTGGTGAGTGTGCAAGCACGTCTACATTAATTGACATCAATCAAGTAAGAAAAATTAAGTTAAGCTCTTTCACAAATGTTACATCAACATACGTCGTGTTGAGTTCCCGCAAAAAAAAAGTTATATTTGTTGAGGGAGACAACTAACTTAATTAGCATAAAGAAGTTATTCATGCTACAAAGAAGACGTGAAACACCAACTAAAGGAGCGCTTGATTGTAAAAAAAAAAATTAATCGTTACGGCGCGATATTAGGTGATGGAAGCAAGATCAGATGTCCCATTTGCATCGAGAAATCAGTCAGTATTTGGTGGACGCTTAGCGACATCGTCCATGGCAATAATGAAAACAATGTGCGTTGCCAGATAAATAGTTTTGATTTTGCTGTTGCGGGATGCGTGATGTGTTGTCAATCATCTGTCCGAAAGTAACCAAAGAAGTTCGGTAGGATAGCAAGGCACCATAGCTTAATTTACTTAGATGTACTAATACATCGTCAAAGATTCCATTCCGTACCACTCTTGGTAGCTAGTGGGATTAATCAGCTCAATAATGCAACAAGCTGGCTAGTAGTGGCCTACGCAATCTAAAAACTTGGCTAAATAATTTCCTCTCTCTTTCGAGAGACAGAGACGACTAAGGGGCAGAGCAACATGGATTGATGGATGGACCAAATGTCACCTGTATGTATTTGTGGCTAGATGCTGTTGTTAGAGAGGGAGAGGCAATCCAACATGATTCGATCGCATCAAGAATCAAGAATTAGTACTATATCCATGGTTTTGGGTACCGGGCGGTAAATTCGGTTACCGCCCGGTAACCGTGTTTCTCGCCGCCCCACGAGAAACGTATGCCCCGAGCGATTTTTTTTGAATTTTTCGATTTTTTTGAATTTAAAATCTCATAGTTATGTTAGATACGTTAGGAACTTAAAGAGATCGTGCAGTCACTATAGCGTACTGGTTAGCATGCGGTAGCTGGTTAAATTACCTGAGATCTTGGGTTCGAGTGTCGTAGTTGTCCTTTTTGCTTTTTTTTTACGATAAAAAGCATATGTTGTAAAAATAAACGGCGCTCGAGGGATTCGATCTAGCAACCTCTAGGCAAAGAAAAGCACATATACGACCTAACCAACACGCCATACGGTGGATGCTGAAGGAATTGAGTCCAGATCTAATTTATAGAACATAAAAATAAATTAAATTCAAAAATCAAATTCAAATTTCGTCCGAAATTTTTCCGGGATTTCGCGGTTACCATGGTAACCGAGAATTTCGGTGCCCCACGAGAAAAAATGTGCCCTCGGGATCCAAAGGGCACATTATGTCGATCCATGGAAAGGAAACTGAATAGTAACTACCCTTCATATATAGTACAACAGCAGCTCCAACGATATCTAGATTTAATTATCACTATGAAACAAGTTTTAGATTTAAACTGGCATGCACGAGAGAAGACATGGCCTAGGCGAAACAGCCGCGGCATGCACATAGACTAGGGGCCTATAGTCACGTTGGGCGAGAAAGATGCAGTCATAAACTAGGCCGAAGCAGAGTTACCGCACAAGAAATATATAGGTCTGACGCACTTGCTTGCATTGCGGAGGAAGGCCAGGGTGATGGGAGCTTGCGGCTGAGAGCTCGGGGGCGACGAGCGGGTCGAGGTGGATAATGCGCGTATGAATATATTTTCAATAATAATGCTAAACATACAAAGAGTTACACGCAATTACACATTGATTAGGATTTTTTTCATCTACTAATCAATTACAAACTTGCCCTTGAAAATCTTCAAAGGGGGTGGGCCGCCTCCCCATCTACTGACCAATCAAATTAACTCTTTTTGTAAAACCTTGTAACTCGTTTGTACATGTAGCATTACTCTATTTTCAATCATGTGAATGCGAATGTGCACTCCCATATGAATATAAACGTGATGACGACACGTGCCTGGCCGATCATGTCAACAGATATTAACATAAGTAGCCAACTCAAACAGACACTGATTATGATCCAGCTGGCTGATGTAGAGCATTGACTCCATGGTACCAACACACCTACGTGTTGTCCAGCAATTGGTTCAGCAGGATATACGCGCGTACGTGTTGACCATTAGTTTAGCTACCCTAATTTGTTCAGAGCATTATTAGTAGTGTATAAGTATACCCGGCGCTCGTGGTTTCTTGCTTGACCAGCTCTGCGGAAAATGAGCTGGTACAAGTTACCTAGCTAAATTTATAACCATGGAGGGTTGTCCATTTCAGCCCTCCGTCCGAAAAAACTTGTCCCAAACTTGCCTCTTAAATGGATGTATCTAGCACTAACTTGGTGCTAGACACATCCATTTGAGGGGGACAAGCTTTTTCGGATGGAGGGAGTATGCATGTTGACGATCATAGACTCCTATTCATACGTTGCACCAAAATTTCAGCAAAGAAATCGGTCCTTGCTAGCTAGCTAGATTAAAGTATACATTGTAATGGATGGATAGGTCAACATCGATCAGTAGTTGCACTAACTTGTTGCCAACTGTTTTGACTTGATGTCACCAGTGGGAAATGAAGCACCAATTTCCCAACACAGAGATGATGAACTCGGTCCGTTTACTTGTGCCCTAATCAACCTGTGAGCTTCTTTTGCACCCTACGTATATTCAATTCAATTCTCTGTCGGACGATTCTTATCCAAAAGTTGAAAGGTATCATCGCATCGCATCGCATCGCATAAAGGAGGCTTGGCCCATCTTGCCTCTTGGGAGGAAACAGGGACTGCGCGCCACACGTACTAGAATCATGATCAAACGCACTGTAGTAACTCTGTAAAAATGTTTGTCTTGGGTGAGTGGGATGTGTGTTAGGTGTTGGACTTCTGTTCCATTTATCTTTGACGATGATAGTGAAACCTAGGGCGCCGTAACTCATATAAAGAAAAGGTCAATGTAAAATGTTTAATTAACGCACGTTCGGTGGAGCCGGACCCAGTGGACGACCATGTCATCCATCGGGCCCTTCTGATTTTCAGGAGACGTTCTATAGCACACATCTATTTCAAATGCTTCTTCATATTGAAAAGAGGGGATCGAGGAGGAAAACAAAGAGATATTCCTACTCGAACGATAAGTCATGTTGTTTACATGTCTTCTATATATAGTAATTCCTATGATTGCTCCCTATCCTCGCTTACTAT